TTCGTTGTTACAGAAAAGGTTATACAATATACATAGAAGCAGGCATACAATATAATTAATAAATAAATTTAAAATACATACCTGTTAGGTCATATTTTGACATATTAAATAATAAAACATATATTAAAATATAAAACATTTTTAACTGATTTTAACCATATATGTTACCATATATGTTATATGTTATAATTTATTTTTTCGTTTATCGTTTAGTTTTAACTAAATTTATGAGTCCTTGAATTCAGTCTCAGTATTACTATCTTGCATATTCAATATAATCAGCATAACCGCAATTTTGAATTAACTTTTAAAATATATTACCCCTTTAGTAAATAAACTCAATAATGAAGTATTGTATTGCATTAAATACTAAGCTTAAATAACGTATTTCTTCCTTCACTTAATTAAACTGTTGATTGTTTAAATTTTTTTTGCGAGATACTACGTGATGTACGTTTTGAATTTATTTTAAATAAAACGTTGAAGAGTATACGAAAGGAGACAAACTCTACTATACGTTACAGCACTTCTTTGATTTCTATAAAAATCGTGAAAAAAATTGTTAGTAAAATTTTTCAGGCTATATTTAAAAAATAAAGATAAGTTCTTAAGTTAATCATATGCATTAAAAAGAGATACTTTTGCAAATCGATATTTCTCATTTATCACAATGAATGTAATCCATAAATTATATTATTTGCATTACATACAGTTAATGTAGTAAATAAGCGATCTAGCTTAACTCATAATTTGTAAAAATTTAAAATAATATTTCATTTGATATATGTGGAAATTTTTATGTTTCTGATATCACATAAATTAACCTATGCAGTCTCATCGAATTTAATATTGGAAACAAAAATTTTACTAATTATTAAAATGAAAAGCAATAAATCATTATTATTAGTTTAAATGTCATATGTAGTTTAGGATAGATTTAGGATAATTTAGGCGAATGTCGAAAAAAGTTTGCAAACTTATACTCTTACAGTTAATAGTAGGACTTACTATATGCTAACAGTTTTGTTTTTTTGCAGTAGAAGGAAAAAATCAACTGCCATAGTGTGAGACTTTAACCCACTAAAACCAACTCTTTACCCACTATAACTATTTTAACTACATAGGTGTGAACAGAGAAGATGTCCGCACCGAAAATGGAAACTTTATTTCAATAATTAAGAGAGCGCTGTGATTAAGAGTCTAAATATCTTGTAGTCTAGATTTATTAAAGCTAGAAGGCATGGGCGTGATGCAGGTATAAGGACATGTTCTTTTTTTTTCGCTAGCGCAGATGCTACAAAAGTTTGGAGCTGTCCATTTACCCACTATTGTAGAAGTTCTTATTAAAAATAAATATCCTAAGATGAGTACAATTTTTAAATGTTCTATTACATTTTGAGCAATTGCATAACATTTTTAAATTATATTTTAAAAAAATATAAATTGTTTCTCACTTGAAATACATATTTTTTTTTTAAACATCTTTTATAGGATATGAATAGTACAATGTTAACTATTTGTTAATTTATTACTTATGCTGAATTGTACTAAATAGATATTAAGTAATACGTGTGCGGGTTTGGTGCAGTCACCATTGTTCAGCTTCCATAACTTGAAATACATATATGTACAAGAGTTGTTTGAAAGAATTGTGGCGACCCAGTTGGCTGTGCATTTATTGAATTTAAAAAGTAAAATTCAATTTCAAATATTTTTAAGTTTTTTGTTTTGATTGAGAGAACGTTCCGATTTTCTCTCTGTAAAAAGTTGAATAAAAAGTTTATTAACATTGAAAAATTTTAGAGGTTTTATTAATTAGCAAGGTGAACAGATCATTGCTAAATTTAGCAATGATCTGTTCACCTTGCTAATTAATAAAACTCTAAAAATTTTCAATGTTAATAAACTTTTATTCAACTTTTTACAGAGAGAAAAATCGGAACGTTCTCCTCAATCAAAACAAAAAACTTAAAAATATTTGAAATTGAATTTTACTTTTTAAATTCAATAAATGCACAGCCAACTGGGTCGCCACAGTACCCCCTCCTAGCGATGGAGTACTAGCAACAACGCGACACCACAACTAAGTCGACAACACCACTCTTAATCACAAAATTCCGCTAACCTTGCTGGGAAACGCACTACTCTACCAGCTCGTGTCACTTTCGGAATCGGCAACAGGGATTCACGCCTACAATCACCAGAAGTCACTAACTGATCACCATTCAACAGCGCTGAAGGCTGACGCGTTTCTGGAACAACCTGTTCAAGATCATCACACGTTAAGTACGCCGCCTTCAACCTATCATTCGAAACAGTCACCTCTCTCCCACGGCAAACAATAACAGACGTCTTCTCATTACGACTCAGCACCTCAAATGGACCTTCGTAAGGCTGCTCAAGTGGAGCTCGAGCACGATCCACTCGAAGAAAAACGTGCTTACAATTAATAACGTCCCGCGGAACATACACAGATGGATGACAATGTCTTGTTGATTCAACGGATTTAACCTTAGCTAAAGCCCTTCGCAACGCCGACACAAAATCAGTCTCGGACGACTTCTGCTTGAAATCCGAAAGCATCTGCCCTGGAACACAAAGAGGATTTCCAAACAACATCTCTGAAGGACTAGCATTTAGGTCTAGCTTCGGTGTCGTTCGCAATCCCAACAACACAAGCGGAAGAGACTGCGTCCAATTACTTGAGGAATGACATCGAATGGCTGCCTTCAATGTTCTATGGAAACGTTCAACCATACCATTTGCTTGAGGATGATAAGCCGTGGTATGAAAGTGTTTCACTCCAAGCAATCTCGTCAGTTCCCGAAATACAGCAGACTCAAACTGCCGACCCAAATCAGTGGTAATAGCCTGCGGAGAACCAAAACTTGCCACCCAACCGTCGATAAAAGCCGCTGCAACTTCTTCTGCCGTAATGCCCGACAGAGGCACAGCAACAGGCCACCGAGAAAAACGATCGACGCAAGTCAAACAATAACGCTTCCCCTGAGACAAAGGCAATGGACCCACAATGTCAACATGAACATGCTGGAACCGACTATCAATATCAGCAAACGAACCAATTGGTGTTTTAGTATGCCGCTGAATCTTGGACTTCTGACACGCAATGCAACTACGCACAAACACAGCTACATCCTTAACCAAACCAAGCCAAACATACCTAGCCTGCACCAATTTCCGCGTTGCTCGAATACCAGGATGAGCCAAACCGTGGAGTTTTGAGAGTACCAGCTGCCGACAGTTTGCGGGAACAAAAGGACGAACACGACTGCCTGACACATCACAGTACAGTTCAATACTCGAATCCGGCAATCTCAACTTCTTCAACCCAACACCATCTTCAGACTGGCTCTTCAGCTGAGCGAGCAACTCTGCATCAGTCTTCTGCCCCTCAGCAATTAACTCAATAACATTTGCCTCCAACTGAACCGTAGCAACCCGAGACAAAGAGTCAGCCACCGTATTATCTGCACCAGCCAGATGACGAATATCAGTGCAATACTGACTAATAAACTCCAGCTGTCTTGCACGACGAGGAGATGCCTTCTCACTTATTTGCCTGAACGCAAACGTTAAAGGTTTGTGATCCGTAAAAATGACGAAATCACGTCCCTCTAATGCATACTTAAAATGCTGGACAGCTTGATAGATAGCAGTCAACTCACGATCATAGGCACTATACTTAGTCTGCGCTGGACTCAAACCTTTTGAATAAAATGCCAATGGCTGAGTCACACCTTTCACTACTTGTTGGAGAACAGCACCCACCGCAACGTCTGAAGCATCAGTCGTGAGCGTCAATTGTGCATCCAGAGCCATGAAGTTAAGCAACGTAGCTTGGGCAAGATCATTCTTGCAAGCCTCAAAAACCTCTACATCTTCTGGAGTCCAAGAAATTACCGACTTATCATTCTTGCGGTTACCTGGTGTAAGATGAAACAACCGCTGCTGATTCTGCACAGCGTTACGCAGAAACGGCCGATAAAAGTTCACCATGCCTAAGAATTGTCTAAGCTGTTTCACCGTTGCTGGCAGAGGAAAATCACGAACAGCTTGAACTTTACTCTCCGGAGGACGTAAACCCTTTGCACTAATAACGTGCCCAAGGAACTCGATCTCGGAACAGCCGAACTTACACTTGGCAAAATTCACGGTCAAACCAGTTTCTCTAAGTCGATCTAAAACCAGTCGCAAATGCATTCTGTGTTCTGCTTCATCTTTTGACGCAATTAAAATATCGTCGATGTACGCAAAAACGAAATTAAGATCACCTAGAGTCTCATTCATAAAACGCTGAAACGTCTGGGCAGCATTACGGAGACCGAAAGTCATAAAGCGAAACTCGAACAGGCCAAACGGAGTTGTAATAGCTGTCTTCGGAATGTCTGCCAGTGCAAGCGGTATCTGATGATACGCTTTCTGCAAATCTATCTTAGAAAACATAGTTTTACCATGAAGAATACTCGTCACATCATGAATGAACGGAATCGGATACCGATCAGGTTTAGTTTGCGCGTTGAGCATGCGATAATCGCCACACGGTCTCCAACTTCCATCGCCTTTGCGAACCATGTGAAGTGGACTTGCCCAACAGCTTTTCGAAGGTTGACAAATCCCTGTCTGGACTAAAAATTGGAATTCCTTCTTGGCTTCTTCAAGTTTGGCTCCAACTAAACGTCGGGGACGAGCAAATGACGGCGCACCAAATGTCTCGATGCAATGTTCAACCTTAGTAACTAAACCCATCCGATTTGCACTCATAATGCCTAAATCACGGTATTCATTAACCAGCTCAGCATAAGCTGAAACTGAACCACACACACGCACAGTATCTTCTTGAGACACAGCAGCCTTACCCTTCATCATCAAAGTCGTCTTCGAATCAACTAACCGCTTCCTTTTCAAATCCACTAACAAGTCATAGTGATTAAGGAAGTCGGCTCCAACAATAGGACAGCTAACATCCGCAATCACGAACGTCCACGGGAAATGTCTACGCAAACCCAAAGACAAAAGCAGTCGACGCTCGCCAAATGTTTGAATAGGCGTACCATTAGCGGCATATAAATTAACTGATGCAACACTGTTAGCCCTTTGCTTCCAACGACAGAACGACTTCGGTAAAACTGATATGTCCGCACCAGTATCAATGAGAAAAACGGTCGACGTGGCGGGATCTTTAATACTAAGTCGAGCTATACGAACACTAACCCCTTCTCGGCTCGACGACGTAGAAGGAGTGCCTAGTTTTTTGACTGATGAGAGCTTGCCACAAAACTACAGGGCTGCCGACAAGCATTAGCTCTATCACCAAACCTTTCGTGATACCAGCACCAATCTGGATGACTTCCTGGTCGGGAACGAGTTCGCCTACGTCTCCTCGATGACGATCGACTTTGCACCGACTCACTACGACGTAAATCCAAACGACTCAGACGCTGTTCGATTTGCTCAAGCCTTCGTAAAATCACAGCATTCTCAGAATAGGCTGGACAATCAGAGGCTGACGCTACAGCTATCTGTTGAAAATCACCCGCCTCGCAAATACGATCTGCTAATTTCGCCAGTTCTGCTAGTGCCACGTTCGATGCCTGCAGAATAGCGCGCACTTGTGGTGGCAAACGCTTCAGCCAAAGAGACTTAAGGAACTCATCGCTCACCTTGTCTTTAGCTAATGCTGTCAACTCCGTTAGCAACTGTGTTGGGCGTCTATCACCAAGTTCAACTTCTGACAACAACCGTTGAATCTTCCGCTGCTCGCTCTCACTGTACCGCTCTATGATGCAAGCCTTTAAATTAGCGTATCTTCCAGTTTCAGGAGGATGAAGCACTGCATCACTTACATCGGCGATAACACTTGACTCAATCGCTGCTACTACCGTGTTGAACTGTGTGATATCACTCGTAATGGCAGCTACTGCGAATTGCGCCTCGATCTGAGCAAACCAAATCTCCGGTCGCTCGTGCCAAAACGGTGGCACCTTCACTGCTACACGGTTTACGACACTTCCACTATCAGAAGCCATTACTACACCTTCGTCTGCAACTGACATCACAGCTCGATAATTAGATATTCAGCTCAGAAGTTAATATTTCTAAATTTAAACTTTTTCGAGATCACGTCGGGGTCACCAATTTAGCAATGATCTGTTCACCTTGCTAATTAATAAAACTCTAAAAATTTTCAATGTTAATAAACTTTTATTCAACTTTTTACAGAGAGAAAAATCGGAACGTTCTCCTCAATCAAAACAAAAAACTTAAAAATATTTGAAATTGAATTTTACTTTTTAAATTCAATAAATGCACAGCCAACTGGGTCGCCACAGAATTCTACCAAAGAAAGTAAGGAACGTTTTGTTTTTGTTGATTTTGCTTCGACATAAGAAGTGATAAACTCATTATAGTTTTTTCGACAAGATTTCAACTTTTCTCTTAAACCTTTCTAATAGTTCAATACGTGAATGCCATCAAAATATTCATTTTCTATGAATATTTTTGCCGTTCAAACAAATTTAAAACTTGGAAACAGTAATATCACTGGGGTCCAGATCTGATAACTTATGGCGATGATCAATTCACTTAAAATAAAATTTGTGAATTTTAGACACCGCCTATCAAAGTATGAGCCTGCTCATTATCTTGGTGAAGCAAAGTATTTTCTTTTACTGAGAACACATTTCGTAAACAACTAAGAATCTGTATAAAATGTCCTCCTTGTTTTATTTAAACAAGGTAACAGATACTTAGAAATGCATAAATGATTTCATTTTTGGTCCAGACAAGAAAACTTAATTAATTTCTATTCAATGATCATCTGATACCAATTAATACTCATTTTTGATATTTTTTAATACAGAAGTTGCATCTTCACCTCTCCAGATTTTTACTATTGCATATGATGAAGCAGAGTTTAATTTTCATTTAATTGGTGTTTAATTTCTAAAGACGTATTATTTTGAATGTACAAAAATTTAATCACTATGAAAGACTTCTGTCTCTTTTTTTTACAAACACTCCAAGTTGATCAATAAAAAAAATTACTACACCCTCGTAATAAATATGTCTCCCCGAAAAATATTATTGATTTTTAATACTAATCCGATGACAGCAAGGCATAGAGGCAGACCGAAGTTGAGATGGAAAGAAAACATGTACAAAGACGCCAGAAAGCTCGGAATTGGAAAAGAACTGCAGAAGATTTTTTACGATAATTTAAAGGTAAATCAATGTTTTTATGTTAAGGAGGTGATGTTCTTGATTTAGTGGAATTAGAAAGATGAAATATACTTAAACTGGAATAAACCGAAATAGCTAACAACCACAATTGCGTGCAACTTATAGGATTAAAGTGAGAACTGACGTAATGAAAAATACATTCCACTAATAATATTGACTTGTTAATAATTATTTGGAAAGACAATTCTACCACATTCGTTACACTTTTTTTCATCACTTATTTCGTATCACGTACTAAACGAGTATCGGTGCAGAGATTTCATTGAAAGTTAGAGAATAAGTATTGGAGTCAATTGCTTCTAAATATTCTATAGATGTTTTATGAAAGATAACAAAAATTATAATTTCTGATGGCTGCGTAATAGATAATACCAACTTCTGCACTGTAATAGAAAGTAATTTGAACTAATGATTTATAAACAGGAACTTATTTAAGCAGATGTTTCTAAAAGCTAATTTGAAGTTCATACAGTAACATTTCAATAAATTAAAATCATTATATCTAGTGTAAAATGATCCAAAAAATATTGGGAGATTGAGAGTTTGAACCACAAAGCACTGTAGTAATGCCCTGACAAAATATATTGTATATTAGAATTTAGGTAATGAAACTTCTGGTGATATAACAGGTATCGATGAGCACTGATTTCTGCATGGTATCAACGAGGTTTTGTGGGAGTCTAAAGGTGCTCATATTTGTACAGAGATGTTTGTCAATTACACCTTAAGCGCTTATTATTATTGGAATGGTCTTAATTTCCTTAAGGTTCCAGTTTCGTTTAGTTTCCACTGTAAACTCAGTATATCTGCTCATTTTCTCTGTGTATGTACGGCACATGTTTCTGGTAGCAGAGATTGCAACATCAATGAAGTAGCATTTACGTTCGTTCTTATCAAGGAACGTGATATCGGGGCGGTCGATCGTAGTATACCTTGACATCTTCATTTTCACCTCAAGTTTCACTTAGCATGGCCTAGTAAAACTTTTTTGTTTCCGAAACTAAAGCTACCATTTTAAGGAAGATAAACCTTCGTTGAAAGAAATAAATTGAGATATGAACTCAATTAGCTTCCAAAAAAGTACAAAACATAGGCACAATTGTATTAAACTGAAAGAAGTAAATTTCTGAACAATAAAATAAATTCAGCGATTGATGAGCGAATTTTTTTTGTTTTATTTAATTATTAAGAACACATTTTATTCTGAATAAAAGTATTTCGAAAAAGAACATATTTTTTTATTAAAAATAATTAAAGTAGCATGCAGCCGGTGGTAAATATAGCTCAAATGTATGTACAGAAATAAACAACACTGCCAGCTTACAGCGTAAAAAATGTGAAATAATAAAATAAAGCAAATTAGTGCCAACTAAAAGCACTAAAAAATGGAAAAATGTTTTCACAAGAAATTCCTACAGAAACACATGTTAATGGTCATTATACTCTTTAATTTAGTTTGTTAAATAAATATGCGTAAATCTTAAGCAATCTATGATTAAAAAAGTAAATTTAAAAAAGTATATGTTAAAGGTATTAAAAATAGCTTATTACAATTGCTAATGTTGAAGAACTACAATTAAAATCAATATTTATAACTTTACCAAAATAATAAAAATATCCATAATAATCAAATTATAACAAATAACTATAAAAATCTGCATTTAATTTTTTTCTAATAGCAACAACTATTTAAAGTGTGTATAAAATCCAATATACTAGTATTTATAGTTATTTCCTTTCTGAATTATAACTGTACACATATATATTATTAACTAAACCTGATATTAAGTAAAGAAAGAAATTAAAATTAACATAAAGAACATTTGTAAAAATTTACTTCAATTTTATCACAAATTCTTTGTTAACTTGTATTGCATAAATTAAAATTTCAAGTTGTCTTTGTATAACATTTAATATTTCTCTTTCACTGTTCAACCGAACTCACATTATATGTATCTATA